ATGGATGGATGGATGATGGATGGATGATGGATGGATGATGGATGGATGGATGATGGATGGATGGATGATGGATGGATGGATGATGGATGGATGATGGATGGATGGATGATGGATGGATGATGGATGTATGGATGATGGATGGATGGATGGATGGATGATAGATGGATGGATGATACTCCAGCTCAGTAGGTGGCGGTAACGCACCTTCACAGTTGGTCTGACAACCTCCATAAAACAATCCAAGAAGAAGATCCCAGCTGCAGCTCTGCGTTACTCCATCATCCATTCAGCTGACCCAAATAGCCCGAACCCTGTCGGAACCGTCATGGACTTCAACGTGAAGAAGCTGGCTTCAGATGCGGGGGTGTTCTTCACCCGGGCCGTGCAGGTAGAACCTCCGGGTTCCGGTTCTGCTGCGGCAGCTCGATCAGTCTGATCCGGGCTCGGTTCGGTGCTGCCCAGTGGTTCTGGTTGTTTGTATTGTTGGGCTCGGTTCTGTAAGCCGATAAAGGTTCGTCCTGCTCTGATCCATTATTGATGACTGATCGAGTCACGTGACACCAGCATACACAACAGAATCCTGCTTCACCGAACTTTGTTAAGAAAAATACAAACTGAAGGAATTGTGAATCTCTGAAGGATGTGTTTCTGTCATACATAAAATATCTCACAGATTATTAATCTGCATGCTTTAATGTAATATTCGGCGTCCGTTTAAGATGATTAAAACAATAATTTGTTTAAAAATATTGAGGTGAATTGTGAGTGCCTGGCATGACTTGTGACTTGGTGCTATATGAATAAACTGAATCGAAATGAATTGAATGTGTTCTAACATCATCACACAGGCCGAGGAACTGAAAATTCATTTGATGTCAAACTGTTATTTTGGGATTTTTATTTTTTAATTAAATAAACGAGAAAATGTTGTGTCTTTAGCTGATTTATGTGTATTTCCTCCTGTTTTAGTAAAATTAAAGTACTTTATTGAATAACTTGTGATAAACTCAAACTGTTTTTGGATGTAACTGGACGCTGAGTGCATAATTTCATTCCACCTCATGTACCACGTGATGAAACGACTTGAACTTGAAACATCCTGTCTGTTAGTTCACAGAGGAAAAACTGGGTCAGGCTGACAAGACGGAGCTGGACCCTCACCTGGACAACCTGATCTCGAGGGGGGACAGCACCAAGAACTGGACTGAGAAGATCCTGAGACAGACGGAGGTTCTGCTGCAGCCCAACCCGAGTCAGTTCTGTTTAAGCTTCACAGTTATGTTGTTGATTCGACTGATCTGATCCCAGAGCAGCTTTAACCTTCAGATGTGTTTGGACCGCAGGGAGCGGGTAGGACTGTTTCTTGGGCCCCGGATCCTTCCTGGTACCCTTTTGGTTCCTGCAGTAAAAACAGACGGGCGTAAACAAACAAACAAACAAACTAACTAACCAACCTTGTTCTAAAGTGAAAATGTACCAATGCCAGTAACGTGGTTCTGAAAAAGGCACAGAATGGTTCCTGTGGTCTGAAAGTTCTGGTTGGTCCAGAAAAGCTGTTTTATTTCTAGACCCATAAACAGATAAAGTCCCAATTTGGATCTTTTAGCCTGAATTCAAAATTCATAAAGAATTCAGACTTGTACACGTTTGATTTCACAACAAAAGAACTGGACAGAACCAGACGGGCTGTTCTGGAACCAGCTGGATGTTGTTAACCTTGTTTTAACCTTTGACCTTTGTTTACAATTCTTAAATTTAATAGTTTTCATTTGGTACTATTTCTACTGTATCTTAACGTGATTTTTGACCTGCCATTGTGTATCTATTCCTCTCAAAGCCATCCGGTGGAAGCAGATGTCCTCTTGTCCTGAGCTGGTTCTGATAAACCTAAAAAAGTTCAATCTGGTCCTCTGGACATTCAAAAAAAACAAACAAAAAAACAAAACAAAGCAAAAAAATATAGAAACGTTTCGTCTCTGATCCGAGAGACTTCCTCAGTCTGAGGAGCTGTATTCAGCTCAGTCTCTTAAATAGCACCTTCTCAGAGTGGATCAACCAGTTTTGCTGCTGACAACCAGAACCAGCTGATCACATGATCA